AGAAGAAGAAGAAGAAGAGGAAGAAGAAGAAGAGGAAGAAGAAGAAGAAGAAGAAGAGAGGAAGAAGAAGAAGAAGAAAGAAAGAAGAGAGAGAAGAAAGAAGAAGAAGAAAGAAAAAAGAAGAAGAAGAAAGAAGAAAGAGAAGAAGAAGAAGAAGAAAGAAAAAAGAAGAAGAAAGAAGAAGAAGAAAGAAGAAGAAGAAAGAAGAAGAAGAAGAAAGAAGAAGAAGAAGAAGAAGAAGAAGAAGAAGAAAGAAGAAGAAGAAAGAAGAAGAAGAAAAGAAGAAGAAGAAAGAAGAAGAAGAAAGAAGAAGAAGAAAGAAGAAGAAGAAGAAAGAGAAGAAGAAGAGAAGAAGAAGAAAGAAAAGAAGAAGAAAGAAGAAGAAGAAGAAAGAAAAGAAGAAGAAAGAAAAGAAGAAGAAAGAAAAGAAGAAGAAAGAAAAGAAGAAGAAAGAAAAGAAGAAGAAAGAAAAGAAGAAGAAAGAAAAGAAGAAGAAAGAAAAGAAGAAGAAAGAAAAGAAGAAGAAAGAAAAGAAGAAGAAAGAAAAGAAGAAGAAAGAAAAGAAGAAGAAGAAAGAAGAAGAAGAAAGAAGAAGAAGAAAGAAGAAGAAGAAAGAAGAAGAAGAAAGAAGAAGAAGAAAGAAGAAGAAGAAAGAAGAAGAAGAAAGAAGAAGAAGAGAGGAGAAAGGAGAAAGGAGAAAGAAGCAAGAAGCAAAAAGCAAGAAGCAAAAAGCAAAAAGCAAAAAGCAAAAAGCAAAAAGCAAAAAAGAAGAAGCAAGAAGAAAGAAGAAAGGAGCAAGGAGCAAGAAGCAAGAAGCAAGAAGCAAGAAGCAAGAAGCAAGAAGCAAGAAGCAAAAAGCAAAAAGCAAAAAGCAAAAAGCAAAAAAGAAGAAGCAAGAAGAAAGAAGAAAGAAGAGAGGAGAAAGGAGCAAGAAGCAAGAAGAAAGAAGAGAGAAGAAAGGAGAAAGGAGCAAGGAGCAAGAAGCAAAAAGCAAAAAGCAAAAAGCAAAAAGCAAAAAGCAAAAAGCAAGAAGCAAAAAGCAAGAAGCAAGAAGCAAGAAGCAAGAAGGAAGAAGGAAGAAGAAAGAAGAGAGAAGAGAGAAGAGAGAAGAGGAAAGAGGAAAGGAGAAAGGAGAAAGGAGCAAGAAGCAAGAAGCAAGAAGCAAGAAGAGAGAAGCAAGAAGAAAGAAGAAAGGAGAAAGAAGAAAGGAGCAAGAAGCAAGAAGCAAGAAGCAAGAAGCAAGAAGCAAGAAGCAAGAAGCAAAAAGCAAAAAGCAAAAAGCAAAAAGCAAAAAGCAAAAAGCAAGAAGCAAGAGGCAAAAAGCAAAAAGCAAAAAGCAAGAAGCAAGAAGCAAGAAGAAAGAAGAAAGAAGAAAGAAAAAAGAAGAAAAAAAAAGAAAAAAGAAAAACGAAAAAAGAAAAAAGAAAAAAGAAAAACAAAGGAAGAAGGAAGAAGGAAGAAGAAGACATAATAGCAAGAACTCCGTAGCACCCTCCACGACCTCGCGTAGCTAACTGTGCAGTACATTAAATTAACTTACATCTTTCAGGGTGCGAGGCAAACAGCTCAACCACTTTACCACGGAGATCTTATGGTCAAAATGGACGCTGGGCATGGTCACTGTTTGAAGCCGAGGCAAATTTTTTCCTTCTGCCTAGCTTCTAAGTTGAATGCATAACGTGACACTGTGAGCTGCATATTTCATTTAGAATGTTTTGTCAACTGTGACCAACGTGATGGTGTGAATTGTATATTTATAAAATGTCGCGATGCCTGTTGTCGCAATGTTGGTGGTGCCCTTTTTTTTATTAAAATTGATCGCGTGTGAAACTGCTCATCTGTTGGTGACTTTTGCTACCATCAATAGTGAACTGCATTTCAAATGTCAGACTGTTTGTGTTAGCACTTCGGATGGCCACCGTATGCTTTTAATGCGTGTGTATGCTAGATATGATGAGACAGCAATCTGTCGATCTTTCCATAAGGGACTGTGATAAACATTCTGTGTGTTTTTCGTTGGCACAGGAACGGAGAAACGATGGGGTGACCCGTTTGCTATGAAGCTGAAACTAAGACTACAAGATCACCAGACTACTTCGAACGAACGAACGAAATTTTTCAAAGGGCCACAAATTGGACACGCAGGCCCATCTTACATTCGACCCTTCCAATCACCCGTCTTTCACAATGCAGCTGTATTTTATCAATAAGCATGTTATATTCATATGATAATATGCATATTATAAATATCAACCCAAAAAAATGAGAGAGAGAAAAAGAAAAAGCACAAAAGCATGGGTGGTAAAATGCATGCACACACACACACACACACACACACACCCACTCACTTAAGCACACCCACATACCTTCACACATACATAAGCACACCCCATTCACCCACATACATACCTACATACCCACACATTGCCACACTTTTGTTTACTAAGCCTTTCGTCATACAGGACATTGCCTGTCGAAGAAAATAGGAGGCAGTATGAAATTTGAAACTTTGTTAGACGTTAACTAAAGCTGAAGTCGAAAGCATCGATCGATTTCATTGCACCAAGATTTATCCAATATGGCTCGGTCTCTGTTCTAAGAACGACTTGGTGCCTATTTATATTGTCACCCTAAGCAGGATCCCCGAGGATCTCTTTACTATGCTGGGGAGGAGGGGTGGCTGATTGGTCTCGATGCATGGCGTCCACGCCGAGAACTGGAGGTCCGGGTTCAGGCCCTGATGAAGGCTGAGATTTTTTCACTCTAGTAGTTTTCCCTGATATCTGGCTAGTAAGATCAGACGCTAGTGTGTTGCCCAAGTAAAACATCCTCTGGCAGGTGGAAATCGAAAAGAGTAGCCTAATGACGCCCCCCGAACAAAATTTGGAGTTAAAAAATCTACCTAAAGTATTTCAGGATCCTCGCCAATGCTACGTAGTTGGTGCACTGCGATGAGATTCTTCGGAGTTAGATTTGAGTTAGAAGTAGAACGGGGTAGAGGTAGAACGAGCACTAATGAGTTACTGCCCTTGTGCCAGGATGTTGATCCTTCGTATAAGCTAAACTAAACTAGTAAATGTGGCACTCGTGAACCTAACGACCAATCCGTAAAACGAGGCCCACAACCTCCAGAAACGGAGACAAACCGCCTGATAACTTTGCAACAGAGAATCCCACTTTCTACTTGAGACTTTGTCTACTTCCTCACCGTGAACGGTTCAATGCATAAAATGGTAATTACAGCTCTGTGTGTGTAAAGCTATGTGTGTTTCCAACATGATTAATATCTTCTGCATTTGTTTTAACAACGAATTGTGAATTTAGATCAGATCGCCAACTCTTGCGTTTTGAAAATCAATTTTTTTTAAATTTGATGACATAATTAATGTACGTGAAATTAACATCTATGAAATGAAAAGCCAGGGGAAAGCCGCTAACTTAACCATCGGAGACAAAGTGAGAACAACACTGCTCATCGCATTCACAGAAACAGAAGATGAAAAGGATTGGTCATCTATTCAGAATGCAGCCACAACTACCAACACAAGCATTACATATGAAAAGCTCTGATGTTACAACAAGAGGTCATCCGAAAAGAATATGGAATGATGACACTAAAAACGGAATGACAATTGCTACCCGTGAAACAATAGATCGCAAACTGGACTTCCACACGTCGCTTAGCGATAAAAGTGGAAATTGATGATGATGATGATATAACCACTTGGCAAGCAAACTAGCAGTGCCTTGCCACTACCAATCTGGGACTGACTACCGACAAGTTGAAATGCATGAAGCATATATGTCTCCTACTTTCTCAACTTGTGTTGTGAGTCAGTTACAATTACGACATGTGTTCTCAAGCCAGTGACTTTCTCCAACCTCATTCTCAAATTAGAATTTAGTATTATATCTATCAGTTACAATTACGACATGTGTTCTCAAGCCACCGGATGGATGCAGAGACTTTCTCCAACCTCATTCTCAATTTAGAACTTAGTATTATATATATCGGTTACAATTACGACATGTGTTCTCAAGCCAGCGAACGGATGCAGTGACTTTCTCCAACCTCATTCTCAAATTAGAACTTAGTATTATATCTAGTCGACGAGTATACAGAGTTAAATTATTATTATTTATCGCAGCATTATATAATGACAAGGAAAAACAACGGAGAAAAATGATGATCGTTGTTCAATTCAGGGATCATCTTCATCGCACATCGGACATGAACATAAGTTTCGATCTCGTCCTGAGTATGTCTCCTAGTATTTTACGCTAACACCTCCCTTTCTGTTCTGACCGATGTAACGACGGGTGGCTCCAGCATGGTTTTCCTGTCTCGCTTCTCCAACTGGTACACCTAGGGTATACAGTCTATTCACTGAAAAATCTGTTTTCACTAACCTTACAGCCTTTAGCCTCTCGTGTGGCATTAATGGTGCCTCTCCTGGAGAGATAGGATATGGTATGCAAAACAAAATACTAAACCAAAGTTTAGACCACACTCTTAATCTTTGAACAAGATCAGCATTGCTGTATTCTCCGCGGTGTTACATATCACATCAGCTGCAATCACACCAAGGCGCCGTCACAAGGAAAACTTCCAGGAAGGGTTAGCCTTTCATACATTTAATGGGATATGGGGGGAGGGGGGGGGGGCGGCTCAGTTGGCATAAGCCTGGCCTAGATAATAATAATTATGATAAGACGCTCAGAGGCAAATAAATAGAGTACATTTGAAATAATTAGAAATTCAAACCACAATGACTTAACAAGATAACTGCTCAACTTGTTATTGGGGGGAAAGGGTGGGGGGCAGTTAGACTTTTATATATATGGAGGATTTAAGGCCTCTACATGAATTTTTTTTTATTTTGAAAAAAAGTGGGGGGGGGGGGGGGGGTTGTATCAGATCAACAAGATTCTGATACCTTTGCCTATTCCATAGAAGGAAATGGTAGAAGTCGTCTTCAGGGATTAACATTTTATTTCAGATGACCAAGAGATTGATCTGCCTCCACATCTGCGCAAGAATCCATTCCTGCCTGCCTTCCTACCGACACCTAGCAATTTGACGTTTAATCGAGGAGAAGAGGCAATTTTGCAGTGCGCCATAGAGAACAGGGGAACCAGAACGGTAAGTACTCCGGGCAAATTGTATCTGTCTGTCTGTCTGTCTGTCTATCTGTCTGTCTGTCTGTCTGTCTGTCGGTCGGTCGGTCGGTCGGTCGGTCGGTCGGTCGGTCGGTCGGTCGGTCGGTCGGTCGGTCGGTCGGTGGGATGGTCGGTCGGTCTGTCTGTCTGTCTGTCTGTCTGTCTGTCTGTCTGTCTGTCTGTCTGTCTGTCTGTCTGTCTGTCTGTCTGTCTGTCTGTCTGTCTGTCTGTCTGTCTGTTTGTCTGTCTGTCTCTTTGTCTTTTTGTCTATCTAATTATGTATATGTATTTGTATGTATATATGTGTATGTGTATGTCTGTCTGTATGTATGTATGTATGGATGTATGTATGTATGTATGTATGTATGTATGTATGTATGTATGTATGTATGTATGTATGTATGTATGTATGTATGTATGTATGTTTGCATGTATGTGTAAGTGAGTGAGGAGTGGGCATGTGTTCGTAAGCATTTAGTATGCATTTACTATATATGCTTTTGTGTTTTCCTCTTGATATTTATATCATGCATACTGTTTTTTTTTTTTTTTTTTTTTTGAACAAAGCATTCTTTTTTGATAAAATACACTTACTGTGTGAAAGATAAATGTTGGGAAGGGCCGAATGTAAGACAGGTCTTTGTGCCCAATTTGTGACTGTTTGAAAATAAAAGTTCGTTCGTTCGTTCGTTGGTTCCCGAGTGCAGCTATTTTCTCCGAACCCCAGACTGCTGCACAGACCCTTCACTATTTTATTTTTGAATTCTTTCTTGTATAATCTTGAGAAGTATTTTAGTTATGTGACTCATTAAACTAATCATTGTGTATTTTTCACACTCAAATGCTTTTGACATTTTTGGTCAGTGTAACAAAAATATGGTTTCAAGTTCTTTGGAATGTAGCCAGTGTTACAAATATCATTACAAATTTCAGTGCTAGTACCAAACCAAGATAATGATTTTAAGATGGTGACTTAGGACATTGTCAGAGAGAGCTATAGAAATAAAGACTGATTTGTACTTATGCTTCATAGACTATACAAAAGCATTTGACTGTGAAGCATGAAGAAGTAATCAAACTGTTAGAAAAATTAAACATTGATGGAAAAGATCTACGAATAATAAAGAATATATATTGGCAGCAAACAGCAGCTATAAGAATTAACAACTGTTTAGGTACATTTCAAAGCATAAAGAGGGGCGCAGAAGAAGGATGTGTACTATCACCTGATTTGTTTTCAATATACAGTGAATATAAAATGAGATCTTTAATTGATATGCCCGGAATTGTGGTTGGTGGGCACAATATAAACAATTTACGTTATGCTGATGCCACAATCTTGATAGCAAAAAGTCAGAAAGAACTAATGAAAATGATAGACATTGTGGTGTTAGAAAGTGGAAGAATGGGACTCAGTTTGAATAATGGGAAGACAGAAGTAATGATGGTATCAAAGAAACGAATTATTCCTTAATGTGTAACAAAAGTCGATGGTGTTTTTTTAGGAATAGTACAGAAATTTAAGTATCTGGGCACATGGATAACATCAGATGGAAGATGCATAACTGAGATAAGAAAAAGAATAGGACAGGCAAAAACTGCATTTTATAAAATGAAGAACATCTTGTGCAATATATCCTTGTCACTGAGAGTTAGAAAAAGAACTCTTGCTTGCTACATACATCCAGTTTTAACATATGGCTGTGAATCCTGGACAATCGGTAGGCAGGCCAAACAATTTCTTGTGGTTTTACAGAAGAATGCTTAGAATACCTTGGACAGCCAAAAAGAGCAACCAAGAGGTTTTAAAAGAAACCCTGGGGGAGCGGCGATTTCTTCACCAGGGAGACGCGAAATATTCGAAGATACACAAGTTTTTTTTTTTTTTTTTCAATCAAAATCTCCTACATGTGAATAGTCATACTTTTACTTAGGTAAGGGCGTCGTGGTAAAAAATTAATTGAGAAAAGGCGCCGCGACTAAGAAGAATTTTAAAAACACTGCTCTAAGCCATTTCTCCAGGTCATCTCTGATAGCCAGTACATCTTCAGTGTCTAGTGGCCATAATCTTGGAGGTCCGCCTCTGTCTTACTTTCCGCAAACTAGTGACGTTCTCTCCAGGCCACGGAGCGCTTGACATAGCCAGATCATTTCAGTCCAGATCAATTAAGCAAAGTCGCATATCTTTATAAAGTTCATGTAAATAAATCACAGTTTCATCAAATACAACCCTAGGCGAAGACAAAACGTGTAGGTGATGGCAGCAAATTGACTGATTGATTCATTGATTAAGTGATTGATTTTTTTGTTATTGATTTTGTCGCTTGAACTGCCGTGCCATTCAGGCCACAAAATACGAGACGCCACTTCCTGCAATGCCTGAGGGAAAACCCTGGATAATTTAGCAATAGATTGGCAGAAAAAGAGGGCCAGGTGGGCCAATGGTTAAAATATATCGAATGTTGAATTAAGAATCGACATTATAGCATTTCAGACACTCCTATAAGCGCTCCGACCCCATCTTCAGCAGCAAGCGAAGAGTTTCAATTCTTATAGTACCAGTAACTATCTGATTGTATATCGGTCTCGCCTTTCCCTTAAATGCTGAGCGTCCGCAAGACCCTCTTATACCTCGACGCAACGCCATTCGCCTCAGATCGTAATGAACTATCCTTGACTGACTGACTGACTTTCTACCCCACCAGGACATCACACAAGCGATAAACACCCGATGACATAATGTGCCACCATGTGGATGAGGATCACCGTGGAGAGGTCCCAGAAACCGCGTTCAGACAATTGACCATATTGATGGCCTGCCTATATTCCGGCCCCTGGCAAAAGCAAGAGTGGGGCTTCAAATAAAAAAAAATTACGTCCTTAAAAGGACGTAAGGAATCTTATTAATAAAACACCTCGATGGTTTAAATATGTATCTGGCTATAGAGTTACATTTCATCTCTCTGTTTGTTGAATAGTTAGAATGCATGTCTCTGTTACTTTAACATATCCGTTTGTTGAATGTAAAAAAATCTGCTCTGTAGGTGAAGTATTATAATGCTTATATTTGGTGAAACGGTTTTATTACATGTACGGGTATTTGCCGTCGAAGTGGGAGCGAGAGGCCTCGTTTCCACTTCGCTCTACAATGTGGTGAAAGAATTAGGATTGCGCGGTAATGAACGGAAACGAACACTCAAAAAACTGGGAGAGGCAGCCGAAAGGGCCTCGAGCTGGCTTTGGACGCAGCGCAACAACGTAGGGGACGGGCCTCGGTGAGCTGGTCCGGGTGTCTAGTGGAAAAGGGTTTCTCACCCCTTTGAAAGTCCATCGTGTCCGAATTGTCTGCCATTGTTCCTCTGCCAACTGCTAATAAAAGTCCAACATGTGTCCGGTAAACCAAAGTAAGCTTGTCGCTCGGTCGTCCAGGCATGCTGACTGCTTTAATTAGGCTGCCGCGGCGGCTTCTTATCTCACAGTACCTTCTGCGAAACCACCAATTCGTCTTGTCTCTGGCCGAAAGTAAAACACCATCCGGTAATCCCGTGCAGCAGGGAACCAGCCCTGAGCTTCATGAACTCAGGAGGGCCCACCTCCGAATGCGTCTAGGAATCGTGGAGCGAAACGCGTGTCGACGAGGATAATTTCTACTGATGACTGGTAGATCCCTGCTGTACTTGCTCCCTGTGAGTTTATTCCTACATGTACCTTTTGATTGAGTGCTCGAAAGCTGCTCTGTGATTGAATGTCCGTATTTTCATAAACAGTTAGAAAACAGTCTCTTGTCTAATGGACAGCCTACTTTACCTGTCTTTGGTAGGATTGTTGGAAAACCTATACTCCGATACATTTTTAGGAAAACTCATTCGTGTTAAATGAATAGAAATCATGCTAAGGATATTGTTGAAATGTCTGTATCTGGTTCAACAGAATACATGTCTCTGACTGACTGGATACTGTACCTGTCTCTGAATGAAAAACTAGAATACCTGTCCCTGGTTCATTGTATTAAAATAGTCTTCTGCTGACCAAAGGGTTACAATACTATTCTCAGGTCTAATGAGAATAGTGTATATGACTCTAAATGGTCAGAGTACAAATTTCTCTGAATGGTCACAGTACATTTCTCTGTAAATGATCAGAGTACATATCTCTCTGAATGGTCACAGTACATTTCGCTGTAAATGATCAGAGTACATATCTCTCTGAATAGTGTACATCTCTCAAATGGTCAGAGCACATATCTCTTTGACTGGTCATGGCGTATGCCTCTCTGAATGGTCAGAGTACATATATCGCTGAATGTTCAGAGTTAATATATTTCTCCATATGGTCAGAGTACATATATTTCTGAGTGGTCAGAGTACATATTTCTCTGAATGATCAAGGTATACATCTCTCTGAGTGGTCTAGGTATATATATATATATATATATATATATATATATATATATATATATATATATATATATATATATATATATATGTATATGTATATATATATATATATATATATATATATCCGTCTTAATGGTCAGAATACACGTTTTTCAAAATGAACAGAGTACATATTATCTGAATGGTAACAGGACATATCTCACTGAATAGCCAGACTAGGTTCTCCTCGAATGGTCAGACTACATATCTATCTAAATTATTGGAATATATATCTCTCTGAATGGTCAGATTACGTATCCCTCTAAATTATTAGAATACATATCTCTCTCTGAATGTTCAAATGTAATCTCTTTAAATGATCAGACTACATTTCTTTCTAAATGGTCATGCTACGTATTTCTCTAAATAGCCAGACTACATATCTCTCTGAATGGCCAGACTACATATACTTCTCTCTTGATGGTCAGACTATTTATCTCTCTGAATTGTAAAACTGCTTATCGCTCTAAATGGTCAGACTACATATATTTCTGAATGGGAGGACTACGATCTGTTCTTGATGGCAAGACTACAAAAAAAGTCCGAC